GAGGGAGCGAGCGGCTGTGTGGTGCTTAGTTGCCGGCTAGAGTTAAACCACAACATTTATATTTTGATGGAAGTACTGAATTTTACACACTGATGCCCACTCTAACCTAACTGTGACTGCAAGTTGGTTTTACTAAAAGGAGAACTAGATTAAGGAAGTAAATATTGCTTTGAAGCTATGTTATTTTATATAAGGACTGTATTAAGTCTCATCACATTGACCAACATTTATATTTTGATGGAAGTACTGAATTTTACACACTGATGCCCACTCTAACCTAACTGTGACTGCAAGTTGGTTTTACTAAAAGGAGAACTAGATTAAGGAAGTAAATATTGCTTTGAAGCTATGTTATTTTATATAAGGACTGTATTAAGTCTCATCACATTGACCCAAGCAGAAAATAAGCAGAAGATTTTTTTTTTTTTGCTTTAAGTGCTAACCCTTTGAGTTAGCCTTCAGACAAAAAACTTTCTTCCCATCTTACTCAGTGCTCTGCTACTTCTCACTAGTATGTGCCCACAAACCTCTCTTATTTCTGCTTACACAGGCACATACCACAGAAGCACCTCTGTTTTGGGCTGTGACAAGTGCACATCAGTTTGGGGACATCTGTTGACTTATGTTCCATAAAGGAGCCTAATTGCTTCACATGGCTGTCAACAAATGAAAAGCCCAGTGATTAAAGCTACCAACTTTAAGAAGGTTTAGCCCAACACTTGACAATACCAATATGCACGTTTATAATGCACTTACTATTCCATTAACCAATAGAAAGGAAAAGCACTCTCCTTGGTTTAGATATGAAGAGGAGTGTTGTGATTGTCTCCCTGTGTTTTACAGTGTGAGTCATCTTGCATAAAAAGTCCCTTGATTTCAACTATACCGCAGAACACCACATTCACTTACTTCCAGCTGCGTGGAAGTCTATAATCTGAGTGTCTGAGAGCTCTTTGGATGTGAGCTGCTTCCCATTCATACAGCTGCTAATACAACTGGCTAATTGTATTGAACCCAATTATTTGTGTTATCTTGTGCAATACAAAATACAATTGGGGTCCTAATTCAATAGCGTTAAAAGACACACAGAGAATTAAAACCTCATGTGGAAAACTAATTGCATTTCTCAAAGAGTAACGTAGTGCTCCCTGCAAATTAAAAGATGGATTTGTAGTTAAAGGGGACAAATTCTGACCTTTACTTCCCTAGTCCCAACTCAGGAAACCACTCACACCTTCTCTTTTCCCTAAAGCATAGGAGAAGATGCATATAGGTGGAAAGCAGACATACACGCGTGAGAATCGTATGCATAAGCAGATGGGACAGTAGCACAGAGTGCAAGGTGGTATTTGGAGCTCTTACAGACTGCAGAGACAGCCCAGAGGATCTGCAATAAATTAGACTTGCTGAGTTTGACTGTTCTAATGTCTACTAAACATTGCAGTGACCTCCAGAGTACCAAATAATCTTGAAAATTTAAAACAACCCCTCATTCCTCTACCTCCAGGCTGAGCTCTCCTTATAATGCTTCTGCCAGGTACAACTGATTCTCGGCTAAGGACTGCAGATTTGAACCAAACTCTGTGCGCTTGGTATGCTCTCAAATTGGTAGAAGTTACAAGAAAATAGGTCATTTACAACCAAGGCTTACAACCACCTATAAAACCTTGTCCCCCACAAGTCTGGTGTGTTGTAGAACTCAGTTGCGTGATACCTTGAACATAATTTTAAT